ACTACAGTACCTTCATACATGGATACCTTCCGTACATACATACATCCTTCTATGCTTAGGTTATATATGAATGAATTCATACATTCGTAAATAAGCTCATACATTCGCACGCTACGTTGCATTGTACGCTGTTGCGGCACATTACTTCACATTATGCCAAATCAACAAACATGAGAGACAGCTTCTCGCTCCGGCAGACTCTGCTGCCGATGGTGGCTGGGTGGGTGAATGTAGTTGTACGTTGGTATGAATTATGTATGCATGTATGTGTGTGTGAATGTATGCACACATTTATGTACATGCATGCATGGGATGCACATACATGCATGTATGTATGTAGTGCATTCATGTATGCATTGCATACATACATGAATGCATGCATGTACGTAGTGTATGTATGCATGTAAGTATGCATGGATGTTTGCATGTATGTATGCATGTATGCATGTATGTAGCAGTAATTTATGTATGTAGACGTATGTGGGTATGTATGTATGTTTGCATGCATACATGTATGTAATATGTGTGTTCGTATGCATGTATGTATGTTTGGATGTATGCATGTATGTAATGTATGGATGTATGTATGTATGTATCCATGCATGCATGTATGTAATGTATGAATGTATGCATGCATGTATGTATATATGTATATGTATGTCATGTATGTATATGTATGTCATGTATGTATGTGTGTATGTCTGTATGTATGTATGTACGTACATATGTATGTGTGTATGTGCGTATGTATGTATGTAATGTATGTATGTATGTATGTATGTATGTATGTATGTATGTATGTATGTATGTATGTATGTATGTATGTATGTATGTATGTATAATGTATGTATGTATGTATGTATGTATGTATGTATGTATGTATGTATGTATGTATGTGTATATGTATGTATGTGTGTAATGTATGTATGTAATGTAATGTAATGCAATGCAATGCAATGCAATGCAATGCAATGCAATGTAGTGTAAGTATGTACGTATGTATGTATGTATGTATGTAATGTAATGTATGTATGTATGTAATGTTCGTATGCATGTATGTAATGTATGCATGCATGCATGTATGTATGTATGAATGTATGTATGTGTGTATGTGTGTATGTACGTAAAAACATTGTAGGTACATAAGCATTTATGCATGCATGCATTCAAGTATGTAATGTATGTGTGCATGTATATATGTATGTATGTATGGGTGTTTGTATGGGTGTATGCACGTATGGATGCATGGATGGATGGATGGATGCATGTATGTAATGTATGTATGTATGTACGCACCTTATATATATATGTATGTATGTATGCAATGTATGTTTCGATGCATGGATGCATGTATGTACGTGATGTATGCATGCATCGATCTATGCACGCACATATGGATGAAATGTACGTTTGCATGTATGGATGTTTGCATGCATGTATGTAGTGCATGTATGCATGTATGTAATGTCAGTATGTATGTATGGATGTATGCATGCATGTATGTATGTACTGTATAGATGTATGTATGCCTGCATGTATGTAGTGTTTGTATGCATGCACGTACGTTATGTTTGTATGTATGTATGGATGGATGTATGCATGCATGCAATGTATGTGCTGAATGTATGTACGGATGTATGCATGTATGTGTATTGTGTAGTGCAGTGTAGTGTATGTATGTGATGTCTTGTGATGTGATGTGATGTGATGTGATGTGATGTGATGTTTGTATGTATGTATGTATGTATGCAATGTATTGTAAATTAATGTAAAGTAATGTAATGAAATGTAGTGCAATGTAATGTAATGTAATGTAATGTGTGTATGTATGTAAGTATGTATGTATGTTTGTTTGTTTGTTTGGTTGTAATTTATGTAATTTATGTAATGTATGTAATGTATGTAATGTATGTAATGTATGTAATGTATGTATTGTATGTATGGATGTATGCATGTATGAAAGCAGTGTAATGTATGTGTGGATGTTTGCATGCGGGTATGTATGTAATGTATGTAATGTATGCATGCACATGTTGCAGGACAAGGCAATTGCGCTTTTTCCTACCAACGACGCTCAGAAACGACGCTCGAAGGACACACGTGTGCACACTTGATTCAGGCAACTGTAGGAGTTGGCGTCGCGCCTGCAAGCACATTGCTAAAGTATGAACACCCACACAGGCTCGTTTGCTTGGCAAACTGTCTCAAACCCACGAGGACACGCGCGTGGAATACACGTGTGCGGTCTTGCGGCATACGCGGACACGCCAGGAATGCGTATGTGCACACACAATCAGACATGTCTGTAAGCGCATCTGAAACGCACACCAGGCGTCCACACGTGACGCACACCGGCAACAAGAAAACTAGCACAACTGCAATCTCGGGAATCTCGGGCACCACATATGCGCACACTCGGGACAATCATGTGTGCACGCCCGGAACACACATGTGCACAGACGGGAACACGCGTGACGCGTGTCTGCTCGCTCGAAGCACGCATCTGCGTCCCGCACTGGTACGTGTGCATACTGGAACACATGGCGTGTTCGAAAGACACGTGTGTGCACGCGAAGCACACTTGCGCACAGGCGCGGAGGACACATGTGCACACACCGGCACGCACGCTTGCGTACTTGCAACACACATGCATGTATGAGCAGAACATGCATCACAGCGCTGCAACACACGCATGCATGCACATCTGCAACACATACGCGTACATTCGATCTTCGCACATGCGCACTCGCTAGACCTGTACGTAGAACATAGGACACGTGTGCAAACGTGAACACACGTGTGTGCGTGATTGACTCACTCACGCTTGCATGCGCTCGAAACATGTGTGTATGTTGCGACACCGCAGTGTGCAGCAATGGCTTGCACCGCTCGCCTGGTAGCGAGCTTCTCGTATGTGATTCGTATTGTTGTGTCTGGTGCCGCGTGGTATCTGGCATTTTTGAATGGAAAGACAGTGTTACTATGCCTCAGCGATGCGCCCGTCCTTGCTCACAGCCTATGCCTTTTGTGACCCGAGTGTATGCACACATGTGTTCCAGAGTGTGCACATGCGTGTGCCGTTGTTCCAGTGTGCACACATGCGTGCTTCGAGTGCCCAGGCATGTTTTGCCAACATATACAAAGTTATACAATGTGTATTCCAGCGTGCGCGTCTGTGTTCTTGGTGCTCCGCTTGTATGTGCATGTGTGTTTCAGGTGCGCACACATGCTACCGGTGTACTGCACGTATACACATGAGCTTTGGGCGTGCACGAACGTAAGCATCTGGCGCGCGGCTACGCATTTCGAGTGTGCAAACCTGCGTGTTCCAAATGTGCACACCTCTGCGTTCCGCACACTCACACGTGATTTTGAGTGCGCGGACGCATGTGTTTCAAGCGGGGTCTCATGCGGAACAGGTCGTGCGGCGCAAACAGGCGCGGAAAAAGCACATTCACTCACATACACCGGCATGTTTACAGACCCGATCACCTTTGCGCGCTTTGCACGCGTACAAGGTGCGAGTACGCTCGCGCATACACATTGCTAAACACCAGTGTCCGTTCGAAAAACACGTGCTTATATGCTTGCAATGCGCACGCGGCCGACAGAAGCAGCATGAACCAAGTCTGTATTTATGTTTTCGGACACACATGTGTGCACACTCGAAACACACATGGGCACACGTGCGGCCCACGCATGTGCACACCGGTCTGCGCACGCGAATTGCACATGTGCCCACGCTGTGAGCAGGCATGCGCACATTTTGCTGAAGCACAGAAACGCACGCGTAGCCCTTTAAACAAGCACTTACTTGTACACCCTAAGCAGACGCATACACACAGAGCAAACAGAAGCAACATGAGTCACACATGCGTATACTCGGAAAACTCATGTGCACACATTCGAACGCGCACGCAGGCACACCGCGAAGACACGTGTATCCACGGAGCACACATGTGTGTGCATGTAGAACCGCACGTGCGGAGACATGAAACACCAAACACATATGCATAAGTGCGTGGAACACACATGCATGGAGACTGCAAACACGCGCGCGCCTTTAACGTGCTTGTACTCGAAACACATTTGGTATATGCGCGGGGTACACATCTGGAGGCACTGCACCAGGCACGTTCGTGCGTACACTCAAAGCACCTTTGCGTGGTTCAGGTGGCTGGCTTACTTGGCAGGGCCGGTTTCAAGGTGGTTGAAGTTGAAGTCGTTTGGCTGGCAACAGGACAATTATAGATATGGCATGCATATTATGCATGTGGAAGCATGTGTTGGTGTTAGTGTAGCATGCATCATGAAGGGCAGGGGTTGGGCCTTCGCTCTGGAACCCTGTACTTGTGAACCTTTGAACATCATGTTTCGCAAGCTGTCCGTGATTGGCATGTGGGCCCTTCTTGATGCGCAAAGGAAAGCTGTCGCAACCAGCACCCGTAGATAGTGTTTTTTTTCAAAAAGCCAACCGTTGTTAGACAAACTACAGTTTTTCTCTTTATTTGTGGGATGCCCATGGTCATGACTCGCAAGTGACAGCGCGTCAGTGACATGCAGTAGCAAGCACGGTCTACATGGTGATACGCTGGACTTGAGGTCACTGCGCGTCACCTACTGTCACCTGCGTGTCACTACGTCAGAACAACAGTAGATCGCGGCAAACAACGGTGGTTTTACCATGTCACTGCGCGTCACCCGCGTGTCACCTTCGTGTCACCTGTGTGTCACCGCATGTAACCTTCGTGTCGGGATAGACGGTAAGAGGACATCGTAAAAGGCCGCTCTCCCTCCGACGAAACGTGTCTTGGTACCTTGCTGCTTGCAGCTTGATTGTTGTACTGTGGTTCCCTTCTTTGCACACTGAATTGCTTGAATGTGTGTTTTTCTCCCTTGCGTCTTGTCTAACATGCAACATGCCTGTCCAAGTGGAGGGCTAGCGGTTTCCTGCATTCTTTTCCGAAGGCAACAGGTAGAGATGTGTGTTGCTTCCGCAGGACTCTTGGAGTGCCAAGGCTTCATGATCGCCACGTTCCGCAACGGCGAGGTGCGAGGGCTAGTGACCAAGCACCGGTCTCATAGAATGCGGTGCCCAGGTTCCTCTGCCGCCTCCTCGTCAAGAGTACCTCATGTGCTTGGAAGGTTCACACCAGGGCCTCAACATATGCTTGAAGCATTCCTACAAACAAACTGTCTTACGGATCCGGCGCAAAAGGCTGAAATTCCCCTTGGACAAGTCGTTACTACTGGCTTCCTCATTCAATGGGTGATAACCTTTGGATTTGCAACGGCTTGGCAAGGCAAAGCAACGCAGAATTGCGAGTCGTTCCCTAGAAACCTCATTAGTGCCTGATTTGCGCCTGAGCCTATTGAAATGCATGTGCCTACACAACAAGCTTTCTTCCAGCCTTATCTATAGCCTGTTTAGCTGTATGTAGCTTGGACCTTCATTTGTAGCCCGAAATTACTTATCTTTTCTAGATCTTCCTGAATGTTGCATTGAAAAGGAGCCTTCCTTACTGCTGCCCTCGAGCATTCCCCAACCAGGCCTACAAGTTGTGGCAAGGAGTGCACCGAGGGGCTCGGAATGACCGTTAGCTATTGAGTAATTCCTTGAGTGCCTTCACCATGCATGGCTTGTTCCCAATCTACGGTAGGTTCTATGACCCTCCGTTCCCGCATGCGCAACTGCTCCAACAAGGTTGCCATTGATTGGGCTCCCTGAATCTCCTTTCGTTGGACTGCCAGAAGCTGCAGAAAATGAAATAGAACCTTTGCAGGGACACTCCTGTAACCCCTGTCACTGGCAGTAATTGTCATGTTGCCCACTCCGAAGCCACCTTCCCCAACCTTCCCCGTTCCGGCCAGGTGAGTATCTACGACGCCTCAGGGGGTCAGATCTTCCATCGGCCGCCCATGGGGGAGCACACCTCAAACACAGCGGTGGAGTTGATGATGCACCCCACGGCCAACAAGCCGATGCTCCTTTGTGGCCAGCTTTACGGCTCCCAAGTTGCAAGGGTGTCAGCTGCTATCAGCTGGCCTGTCTCAGAAATTTGTTTGGGGCAAGAATTGTTCAAAGTTCAAAGGGTTCCAAAATTTGAGACATTCGCAGGTAGTGCTGCATGTTGATTGGTGTTGATTTGCCCAGGTGTCTACTGTAGGCCTGTGTGAGTGTGGGCATGTGTGCCTTCGTAACGCTGCCTTATCGGTGCCTACAAGCAAGCTAGGCACACCGGATTAGCAGTTGGAAGCGGCGATGTTGACATGAAGCAGTTGATCCTCAGGAACTGTTGGTTCCAAACAGCCAATCACGTTATGATAAGGGAATCACAAGGGCTGACACGTCCAGTTGAAGTGCCCGGGCATTTGCAATTTGATGACAGCAGCCATGCTTGAGCACGAAAGGGAGGGAGGGAGGGAGGGAGGGAGGGAGGGAGGGAGGGAGGGAGGGAGGGAGGGAGGGAGGGAGGGAGGGAGGGAGGGAGGGAGAGGGAGAGAGAGAGAGAGAAAGAAACAGAGAGAGAGAGAGAGATACAGAGAGAAAGCGAAAGAGAGAGAGAGAGAGAGAGAGAGACAAAGCAATCAAAAGAAAGAGAGTGAGAGAGAGAGAGAGAGAACAACAAGTGATGCTTGACATGTTGCCGCGCTTGGTGCCGACAAGTAGACGGGCCTAGGCTATGTAACGGCCTACGACTTGCCAGAGTTCAAACCGCGGGGGAGCTTTTGCTGCAAAGACCGCTCAGATGTCAAGGCCGGAAAGGCACAGTCACTGCAGTGTTCTGTTTGGCTGGCCCTCAACGCTGTCCTCGATGAGCATGACCCGGGCTTAAGGGAAGGCTGGTTGTAGTGGTTGCAAGCACTCAACCCCTCAGTCAACCTCTCATCCGCCATTCTAGAGCCTGACCAAGAAAACCTGCCCTTGGACAGCAAGCAGGTTTTCAAGGATGAATTCCTCCAAGTTCCCAATCAAGTTCCATCCCACTCACTCAATTTGGCTGTGCGTCTAAGTCATGAGCCAACATGGTTTGGATTGAGCATCAGAATGTCCTGAAACATACCCCTGTTTGGCATGGTGCCATGCGTGACCCAGGTATCGGGTCAGGTTTGCAATGGCTTGAAGCATACAGATGCTGTGCGGAACTTCGTTGGGAGCTTTCCGCAAAAACGCCTTGTCTCATTCGGAGGCCATTGTGGACGCCAAGGGCGATGGAGTCTTTCTGACTGCCGGGCTGCATGGTGACATCATCGTGTGGCAGTGGGGCGGTGCTGGTGGCGCCAGCCCGTTCACGCCAGGAGCCGGGGCTTTCGGCTTTCTCATTTCGCGTTGGAGTCGCTTCATGGCCATTTTGTGTTCCGCCTTTTTCGCCTTGAGTTGTAGGTTTCGGGCTTCTCGGGTGTCAGATGTTCGACGTGGCTTCCCTGTCGACGCCAGGAGCGAGCCCTTTCGCGCCTGCCGCTGCCGTGCCCAGCGTAGCAAATCCCTTCGCGCAGGGACAGGCCGGCTGTGGAGGCGGCTGCTGTGGCTGTGGCGGCGGTTGCCCTGGCGGACCGGCTGGTGGCATGATGATGTGACTGGAAAGTGCTATGGAGAAAAGGCGCTGTGCTCTTCTTGCAAGCCTCTGCTGTGCTCTTCTTGCAAGCTCGAGACCAGAACCAGGCCCTTGAGACCTGTTGCAAGGCCCCTTGATGGGTTGTATGGGCCACAGCTCTGCCCTTAAAGGGTCGTGAATCACCATGGCAACTTCGAAAAGAAGCCAAGTTGCAGAGACTTGTGATTGCGTTCCTGGACGCAAAACTGGCTGATTGCCCCCTGCACTCTTGCAGGCAAGCCATAAGGGAAGTTGCTCACCTTCAAGAGGGGTGCCATCAATGTGCGGAGCTACCAGTAAAAGGCTCGTAAAAGGAATGTGTATCGGAGTGGAATTGGGTGAAAGCGTAGAAATATGAGGCGGCCACGAGAACCGAATGCTCCTCATTCCGTATTTGGCAGATATCACTCACAAAAGAACACTGGCTCCTTTGAGACATTGGCTCCTTCGAGCTACGACCGGATTTTTAGGCTGAAAGAAGTTGCAAGGCTTGCAAGGAGCAAGTACTGACACTAGCCTGTGAGAACAGAACCGGGTTGATGTCACACATGCATCAGGATTTGGCCGCGGCTCACAGTGCATGTCCTTTTGAATTGCTCACGTCGCAGTCGGGCAGGCCTATTTCTTTCATCATTACTGTACTCCAAGCAGGCTACGCGCTCCGTGTGCACTTGTCACGCTCACTTCAGGCTAATTTCTGTTCTGCGTCAAAGCACAGAGCTTGTCAGGCCCTGCCAACTAGTGACGTTCACAACTAGACCAAGGTCAATTCCAAGCTGTGCCGATGATAAGGGCAGAGGATTTGCATTCCAGCAGCAACTTCCTGGATGAGACTCGTTCAAGAGACCGTAGAGGCTACATGGCCATGGGTCAAAAGCCCGTACCCCCAGTGAACCTCCCAATCCCCACTAAAATAGGCTATCTAAAATGGATGGTGAGTTCACCTACCAACCAAAATGGGATCCCATAACGGTTTTTGACCACCACAGCCACATGGGTCCCAAACCAGCAAGCTTCAGCTCGTGGGCTGCTCGTTTTGTTTCGTGGGCTTCAGCTCGAGGCCGCAGCCGAAGAGCAGCGGCAAGTGCTCGCGGCCGACGGGCAGCTCCAGGCGAGGGCTCTCGAAAGAAACGGCGCTTCTGGGGCGCTAGCTGGGACAAGTGGGCCTTCAGAGCTACACCAAGCATGAAAACCTTGGGTGCTTGTTTGGTCTAAGCACCTTCAGATTTCCAGTGACTGGCGTGGTTGATAAGGCCCAAGCTTGAAAGGAGGGCGCACCCAAGGGTTTCATGCTTGGTGTAAGCATTTGCGTTCTGAAGGCCCACCTGGGGCCGAGAAGCGGAAGGTGAGATATAGTCTGTCCACCTGGCTCGCCAGGTGTCTTTGGTGCCAGAGGACGCGCGCCTGCAACTGCCCAGTTCTGAACATCGGCCAACATTCTTGGGTGGTATTTTTGTTTGGGAATTTTGCGGAGAATTGCTAGGGGCCATGCTTGATCCTCGCGTTTGATTTGGGGATCACCTCTTTGGGTTGGCTGTTGGGAAGGGGCAAAGCGGAAAGAGCAATTGTCAGGAGTCCGACGGCGAGCTCAGTGATCCCGAAGATGGGCCGCGAGTGAAGTTTCCAGCTCGCCGACCGCTGGGGCCTTGAAAGCCACAGGTTCCCAGTCGCTAGGTCGAACCATTGGTTGACGTAAGCGTCTTTGTCACAGTTTGCCTGCCAGGCGCAATCACAGCTGACTGGATGCATTCGTTTGCTCTGAGGCGGCAGCTGAAGAACGTTCACAAGGGAAGCGGCGCGGCAGCCTTAGCTTCATTGCGGAGGGCCTTTCAATCGCCGGTCGAGTCGAGTGCTCGGAATCAGGTGCCGAACCGACGGCGACACCGTTGGAAACATTAAGCGCTGGCGCGCTCCCATCAAAATGGTGAGCACTTTGGTAAGATAGATTAAAATTAGAATATTTTGCAGCCAACATATGCAACCACGAAATTCAATGAAACGGAGAATGACAGAAAGACAGCGGTTGCCAGAGGATTCGTGCGTTTGTTGTCAAATGATTGCTTGGCAAGCCTGCAGTCAAGTGCTATTACGAACCCAAAAATCTATAAAATTGTATTTGAACATAAATCAATTTATTTGGTTATATATATATATAGATTACTATGTTTGAATATAATTCAGCATGTAAATCCATAAATACAATTTGTTAATATTTGTTAATTGAGTGTATTCCATATTGGAATGAATATATATATATATAGTTGATTTTAGTTAAATTTGTATAATGATAATACTTATAATACAGATGTGTTATGATAGTTGTTGATTTGTTGAGATTATTATTGTATATTAATTGGTTTGATATTATAGATCGAATTAAGTATATTATGTAGTAGTATTAAGTTATTAGGAATATATGAAATTGGTGATATATTTATTTCTACTAATATTATGGTTTTAGTAGAATATATATATATATATATTGTAAAAACACATAAAGACATACAATACCTCGGTCTTTTAGTATATGCAAAATTATTGTTTATTTATTTAAAAAAAAAACTATGTTTTTTGATCCAATGGCAATTATTTTCGCTTGCCGGCAGGTTTTAGTGTTTTTATACTCTAGTATTAATCAAAATTTGAAAACGGTGTAATTTGCCGGCGAAACGATTTTTGTTGGCTTGGTTCCGAGCTGGATTTATGGCGAGCATTTTTTCTCCGAAAGAGCGTCATTATTCAATAATCGACGAAAATTATTGCTGTTTTGGGAAACGGCGTTAATTTTACATGTTAGAAGGTCCAGGTATATGAATTATATTCAACTTAAATTATATTATTCTATAAATCGGAATGGTCTCGTGATTATATTTCTCGTGCACCGCAAAATCGTTGTAGCGGCGGCCGAATTGTCGTGCTTATCGTGCTTATCGTGCTTACGGCGACGACTATGCCCGTCCCGATCTTTTCGCCCGCTACGTAAGCCCCTGCCTCTTAGCACGGCCCGAGAGTCCCCGAAACGAAATTTCGGAGAATTCTTTAAATCTTCGCTTAGAATTCCTGCGGCATAACCTAACCAAACATTTCCCGAATTTTGGGTCGTTTCCGACGATCCGGCTCTTAAATCTCCAAAAATTACCCCGGCAAATTTCCTCAAAATTTAGCGGCTTTCCTCAAAAAATAACGGGTCAAACTTGTAGGACATTTCGGAATTTATTCCCGAAGATTCCCCCCTTTCCCCCTTCCCCCCCTACTCCCCCCCCCCCCCTCCTTCTTTCCTTCCCCCCTTCCTTCCTTCCCCCCTTCTTTCCTTCCCCCCTTTCCTTCCCCCTTTCTTTCCTTCCCCCTTCCTTCCTTCCTTCCCCCCTTCCTTCCTTCCTTCCTCCCCTTCTTCCGCTGCTTCCCCTTCTTCCCCTTCTTCCCTTTCTTCCCTTTCTTCCCTTTCTTTTCTTGAACCCCTTTCCCCCCTTTCCCCCCTTTCCCCCCCTTCCCCCTCTTCCCCCCCTTCCCCCCCTACCCCCCCCCCCTTTTCCCCCCTTTTCCCCCTTTTCCCCCCTTTCCCTTCCCCCTTTTTTTTTTCCCCCCTTTTCCCCCTTTTTTCCCCCCCTTTCCCCCCTTTCCCCCTTTCCCCCTTTCCCCCTTTCCCCCCTTTCCCCCCTTTCCCCCCTTTCCCCCCCCTTTCCCCCCCCCTTTCCCCCCTTTCCCCCCCCCTTTCCCCCTTTTCCCCCCTTTAATGTCGGGAGACGATTGTTTCACTTATAATTATTTTGCTTATGTTATTCCTTACGACAAGGAATTTGTATCTTTTTGGATCGAGATTCTTAATATATTGTTTTTATTTTTGTATAATACTACATTTTTGGAACGGATTAATATAATCTTAATACTTAAAATTATATTAATTTATAGATATATAATAGTTCTTATTTTATTTATTTATTTATAATTTCGAATATCTTAAAAATTAATTGATTTATTATAATATAGATTAAATTAACACAATAATATATATATATATATGATTTTAAATTATTATTTGTATTAACAATTATTATATATATATAAATAAACAGAGACAAACCGAGAGCCACAAATACCAAAAAGAAACAGATTGGGATATATAACGATACATAAACATAGATAGAGAAATACGAAATAAATAGACATGGACACTCAAAAACAAATTGGGAGACATTGAGAGAGGCAAAAATACGGAGACACCTAGCACGAAATTTTCGGGAAAGCCTCAAATTCTGAAGAAATTTGCGGGGTTATATCCGGTAACCTAAAAGCCGCGTCGCCGGAAGCGATTCGGGCGGATTACGCTTCGGAAATTTTTATTTATTAAAACCCCTCGAAATTTCGGAATCTTCCGGGCACGAAGAGGCGGAAATTTGTGTTACGGAGAAAGGCCGAAACAAACATAACCGCTTGCCACTAACACTACGATTCGGCCGAAATACAGCTACAACGGCTTGCCAGTACACGGCAAATACGGCCGTAAAGCTATACAAATTTAATACCGATTTACAGAAAATATTATTATTATATATATTATTAATATAAATCAAATAATAAATATATATTATTTATTAAATTCATAATATAAAATTAAATTCATAATATAAAATTATTATTTGTCAAATTAATATATACCTGGACCAACTAAGGACATTTTTTTTGCGACTCTCTGCAAAAATCCATGCATTTCCTTAAAATCTATATATTTGAGCAAAAAATATATTTTTCTTGCAGGCTCAACATAAGACACAGGAACATTTTGCTACCTTTTTTCTATAAGAATCTCATTTCAGCTCCGACCATGACACTGGAGATTATCATGCTCATACCATTTGAAGGTATACAATTCACCAAACACAAAAGGTGCCCATTTCCTCAAGAAAATGTTCCGCTGATTTCCATACATTTTCCGCAGATTTCCGTACTTTTCCCGCCGATTTCCATGCATTTCCCGCCGATTTC